TCAGTCAATATGCTGACAGCTACCAACCCATAGTTTCTCTATACCTGCTTCCCGTTAATCCTACGCTTTCAAAACAAAGACCCGCTTTTCATTAGGTAATGCTGATAACGTTAGTGGTTAATACTGGTTCTAATTAGAAGTTTGTTCTTTATTTTAAAAAGGAGAGAATTAGCCTGGCTACAGGTTTTTAAAAAGTATTGTTTCTAGGAGATATATTTTTAACTGCTGGGCAGTACAAGGAGTCAAACACAAGTTGTCAAGAAGAGAAGGAGGAAAAATAAATGAGATTTGTAGTGGATTTAAAATAGCCTATGAAACGGGGAGAGAAATTTATGATGTAATCACCAGTACAAACTAATGTATATAGCTTTGTTGAGGAGTGCAAGAATCACAGTATAGCAAACCACATTGATTAATAGACTCAGTGTCGATAAACAGTCACATTGTAGCATCATAAGCAGGGGCGACATCTTCTGGGAAATTCAATAAATGCTCTAAAGCCTCAAGCTTGGCTACAAGAACACACATAAAGATTTTGTTGGACAGGTTCCAGTCAAGCTTACAATTTGCACTATATTAAACACTGTGTTGGAATAACAAATCGATAAATAATGGATAATATTTATTTGTAAATAAGTTCCACTGTGTTTAATGAAGACTTGGTTAAGTTCACTCATTGGAGTGCAGAAATAGGAATGACTCTACTTCTGTTTCTCTCCTCATTTTGACAAACAACAACTTAGTAAAATGGGATCTATATGATCAACATTGTAGTGTGCTGATGAAGCAAATGACTCATTCACTGGCAAAGAATCAGGAAGAAAAATAGCACATTTCTTGGACATTTGGTAATAGAAGTGGATTACACTCCAAAAGGTATCTAATTAGAAGGAAGAATCCCAGGGCAGTGATTCATTCAGGGATGCTATAGGTAGCCTATAATAGAGCTGTCCCTCCCCCCTTCCCCCCCATAGATGCTGATTGGAAAGCATTAAGATAATGGATTGTTCAGATACTACAAAAAAAAAAACAAAAAAAACAGCTTCTCTGTAGGAAGATGCTTTAGACTTCGTGGGAACTTTTAATGATTAATGCTTGCCCACATACTATTGGCTGTTCTCTTACATTATTGATCTGAGTGCATAGTTTGGGAATGACTGGGCTAACCTAATACATTCGGTCCAAAACTGGATGGAAAATGAATGACTCTTGGTTTTTCTGCCTCTAAATCCAATTTCTTTTCCAAACTTAGGTCAAAGAACCCAAGAATCTTTCTTTTTCTGTTCTGCAAGTGATAATGTCAAAGCAAGAATATACAGTGTATATTCTTGCTTTGACAGATAACAGGTTATATATTACAGTAATCTCTAATTCCATGTTACTGTTGAACAATTAGAGTCTATTACATCCATATTCATTCTGATTGATATTGTATCCAAAATCTTAACTATTCCTGCATACAAATATATATAATAATAACTTTTTCTTTCTCTTAAAAAGAAATTGAACACTGGCAGTAATCCGGTCTTTTTTTGTGCACATTTGCCAATATTAATTTAAATCATTTTCTTCCCTTTAAACCTTTTCCTGGACAGGTAACAAAAATCCAAAATGAAATATATAAAAACAACCTTTATCCGGGATGGAAACATTCTGAAAAGCCGGTGGCGATGGCTGTGGTGCTGGAGGGGTTGGTCAATTGTTCTGTTTATTTTATTTTAGTCAACATAGAATAGTCCCATCCCTCAAACTTAAAGGATTAACAACAACAAAAATCCTGCGGTTCCTTAAAGACTAACAAATTTATTATCAGATAGACAGTACATACACTTTGGTGCATCATGCATATACTTTTTCAGTCACAAGGCTGCTGCAAATCACTAATGCAGCTATCTTTCTGAAAATTAAAAACTAATAAATGTATTATAGCATGAGCTTTTGGGAATTTAATCATGTCATCGGTTATATGCATTTTTAGTTCATCTGCTATATTTATTTGTTGTCCAAGAACAAATACTGATTAGTTTTTTTTCTTATTTATCCTCTTGAGCTGATTCTTCCTTCTTAGGAGGAAAGAAATGGCCCATAAAATGGGTGGGGTACATTTCTAATCCAATGTGCCTCTCCCGATTGTTTCTTCTTTCTTCTAAAAAAATGCAAAGTGTCCAAAGCAAGACAGAGATCTGTTCAAAAATGTCAAGACATTGCTAAGCAAAGGAAAGTTAGTATCTCAAAAGAGATGCCAGTACAGGAACTCCCAGGCAGATGATCCCAGCGATCAAAGCAATGCCAGCTGCTGGCAATATCTCTTTAAATACCTGAAAAGCTTCTCTGTTTTTATGTGGATACGCCATAGTGTCTGAAATCAGTTGCTCTTAGTTACTGAAAGGCACAATTCACAGGAGCATTTTTGAGGAGCTTAAATGGGCCTGCCTCTTTCTTTCCTTCTAAGACGTATTGCAATCCTCTCTGCTCCCATGGATACTTTATCCGATGCACAGAAAAGTTGATAATGGCCGTACCAATCAATATTTTCCTTCATGTTGCAAAAGGGAAGTATGCTCCCCTTTTAGATATTTGGGTGAAGACCATCTTTGGAGCAAAAAAAATTTAAAGTAACCTTTAGTGAGATACTTTGATTTGCTCCATTGTTTTGCTACTTTTCTTCTTTTTAAAACCACAATCCAAAATGAAAGACTAAAGTAATGTGAATTACAACACACAGGCCTGTATCCCCAACTAGTGTTTCCCTACACGTTGGACTTCAAATCTCAGAATTCTTGGCCAACATTTCTGAGGGTTCTGCCAGAACTCAGAACATTCTTGATTTGTTTTAGAACTACTGAAAATGTGACCTAGTATACTGCAAAGGAGAGAACAACTATTTCACGCAGACTTTAACTAAAGCTTTTATTTCAGAATGGCCAAATCTAACAAACATTATATTAGTCAGTGGCAAATTTGCTGCTATAAATGCCAGCACAGCAAAGCTTGTTTGGATCAAACTGAGCATTGTCCATAACAATCATTAATGCCATCTTAAGTATTTAGCCACAGAACAGTCTTTCATCTCCTACTCAATGAAATGTTTTGGCAACGGTAGCTGTTAAGGCTACGCTAAAGAGCATTTGCTTTATAGAAGTTCTCAGGTGCAGTCCTCTAGCAACTCCATTTCCAGGTGCCCAAAGACAGTTGCATTTGAGAGCCATCCTGTGATTAGAGAGCACATGACTAGAGAGATCAATGGCCTGATTTTACAAGGCAACTCCATGACAACCTCATAGATTAAAAATGACTTAATGGTTAGTTGAGATCAGTGGAGCAACTGCAATCCCCCCCCCCAATAATCTGGTTTGGCAGATTGTAATAAAGAACTACTATGTATCACGGTCCCTGGATCACCATCAGCCAATTACATTGTAAAGATATTACCAGTTTATATAAATTTTAGATCATTCAGTCAACCAAATATTAAGCCCAACGTCGTTTTTCAGTCAACTGAAAAATCAAGAATTAATTTGTTTGAGAGCTAGGCTGAACTAGAACAATAGCTGAAATCTTTTGGTTTACACTAGTCATTGACTTTCAGATTCACTTCCATTTCTGCAATGTGAGAAAATAAAATGGACTTATATAGCTACTGTATTAGAGAGATTATAAACTTAATATAACTGGTATTACTTAATGCTACCTTAGATGGACAAAAATAGTTTCTGCTATGAAAGGTGTTTTAGCCAAATGAATCAACTATGCAGTCCCCTTATAATTAACATAATCCTATTTAATAACAGAAAAAACTTCCTGAACACTTTATGTGGCAGCTAGCAAGAATCACATTATTTTAAAATGTGTGTGTGTTTCTCTGTGTGTATGTATTTAGCTGATTTTCAGTTTTTTTTCAGCAATTGACTAAGTCCCAATAGTTCTAATAATCTTTTTGTTCAACAAAGCAAATAAAGTTTTTTCTCCCTTGGAACACCTAAGAAATGTCACTATTTTGCCTCTAGTTTTCATTTTTCCAAGATTACACATTTAAGCCTTGAAGGAAGGGAAGTCTGTATCTAGATTTTTTTTAATGTGAAACATAATCTTACTATTGCACCTATTTCCAGTCTATTTTACTCAATTCTCTTTAAAAAAAAAAAAAAACTTCAAAGAAATTGCCATTAAAAAAAACCTCTGTGCTTGATGCTGGTTTTATTTTCCAGTCAATTCTTAGTCCCATTTTTAATTTAAAAAGATTACTATCAACTTAACTCTTTCAAATCTTCAAACTTTACACTTTTACATTACATCAGCTCTTAGCCTTTAGTATTTTTTTTTACAGTTAAAAACAAGGCTGTAAACAGAACAGCTAAATGAGAGGAAGAAAATATCTGTAGCCAGTAAAATCTGAAAATAGCCCTGAACTAGGATTTTTGTCCTCAGATGAAACCTAAATATTTGTGAATACAGTGGTTGAGAAGTCGGTTTTCTCCAGTAGGTTTTTTTTACTACTCTCTCCAGAAGCAGGGGTGTGGTGATATTTCAGAATGAAATACGTTTTTCTGGATACAACATTTCTCTTTCAAAATCCGATTGGAGAAACATTTGCAGTTTCTCTAATCAATGGGAAGTGGGGGGGAGGAGGAAGAGGATTATAGTACACATCCATTACATTAGGAAATTGAATAATTGTTTTAAAAAGAAAAATAAAAGTCTGCCTTCAGGACAAACTAAATACAGATGACACTCAGGCAACTCAGAAAGGAGACCTTTCAAACATCAAACGGACTTTTTTTTGAAAAAGTTGGGACGAAACAACCTTGATCAGCCTGCTAACCTTTGATACAGCCTCTTCAAAGTTGTCCACATTCCCCCAGCCTTAAATTGCAGCTTTCCGACTTCTGAAATGGAAAAGCCTGCCTGCCGTGGTTCTTTTATTTTCTTTTTTTAAAAAAAAAAAAAACAACAGAATAGGAGGAAAAGAGAAGAAGGTAAGTAAAGTAATAGCTGCTTACTTTTCCCAGGTCCTTGAGGTATGGACTTTACTTCCCACCTGGTCTGAGGAAGGCTTCAGATTGCTTCAAGTCAAGACTCTCTAGGGCCCCTGATCGCACACAGCAGGAAGGTTACCTCGAGCAGTGGCGTTGCCATCTCTGTCCCAGCCTGAGGGGTTTGCTGCAGGTTTTTTTTTTTTTTTTTTTTTTTTAGGAGGAAGGAGAGAGACAAGCAAAAAGAGAGAGAAGAGAACGGGTTGGTCTGTAGTTAGAAGAGACTGGGGGGGGGGGAGAGAGAGAGCTCCTCTGCTTTACAGGATCCACCCTCTAATTACAGCCTGAGAGCCTTTGAGGACCCGCTAGTATCCAATAAAGGAGGAGGGACTGTGGTAGTAGTGGTGGTGGTGGTATGGGGGGGGGAACAGTCAACATCTTCAAGAATGAGTGGCTTCTCCTATCCCCCCCCCCTTCTCAGACTTTGGAGGGTGAAAAAGAGGAGGGGAAGAGGGATAGAAAGAGATTAAAAAGAAGAAAGGAAAAAACAATGCACAGGAAGGAATAAAAAGGAAGCCAAGCGGGGGGGGGGGGAATAGAAATTTAAGAAGGAACTCCCTGGAAGGAAAGGAAAGAAAACAACATTTCTGTGACACACACACAGAGACACACATAAACCTTCACAGACTGGTCCCATGGCCAGCTGGAAGTTTCAGTATCTAAGGGTGATAGGAAGTCCGGTAAGGCAGCTTTAAATCCACAGGGCACCAAGCAAATATTCCCTTCTTGGAACAAGTGTGAGTTCTGATCTGGAGCCTTCCATGTGTTTGGACTATAACTCCCCATTCAAGTGTGATAAATGATCAGAAAGCATTAGAGACATACAGCAACATATGTGCCGTCATTCTCAGAAAGCTCAAGGTGGATTATATGTGAGGGAAGCCGTAATTTTATCCCCAGCAAAAAAAAAAACCTGGGCTGAAGTAGACTGGGCTGGCCCAAAGTGAGCAACATAGATGCGTGGACAGAACATCATTCGATTTTCTTGTCCAGCACCAAAGCAGGCTTGGTTGAAACTCCTTGGCTGGCTAGCTGGAAAGAAACTAAAAAGATATGGCAGGAAAGGATAACATGTGTCTTAGCAGATATTCTTGAACTCCAAGCCCCATCAGCAGTAGCCAGCATAGTGAGGGATGATGGGAGTTGTAATCCAACTCTATCTGAAAGGTTACATGTTGCTCACCCTGTAAGACATTTTAAAGTGGTCTTCTGAGATTTACTCTAGGATAAGCTACACCTTTCATGGTGTCTATATCTATGTAGGTTCTGGGAATTGCTTTAAAAGAAAATGGCAATTCAGAGATGCTACAGTTGGGTGCATCTTCCATGGAACCAATTACATAATCCCGTGCAGATGTGTAGAAAATGAAATCCCCTGTGTTCAGTAGGCTTACTGCCACGTATGCATAAGATTAAACAAAATATTGAATGGACACTTTTTATTTCTATTGATATAAACCTCTTGTAGCAATAGACTACATGGGTATTATCTGTCAGTGACAATGTTGAGAAACTGTTTTAGCTCTTTCGCTTAGATTTTACCAAAGTTTCATAAAATATAGAATCCATCAGCATCTCTTCCAAGTTTTCACAGTGCTGCTTCTGTTCCCTCATCCATCTTAAGAATCTAAATCCCTAACTTCCTCTCTCCTGTAGGATTTCTGAGCATCCTGTAGCATTGATCCCTTTGTTCGTGGCCAATGGCAATTCTCCAAGGGAAGAATTAAGGATGGACAATCCCTGACATAACCTGCTTATAACTGATAGTCCAAGGAACATTGTAGCAACATCCATTGCCTAGGAAACTTGGACGGGGATATCACTATTAATTGGGCTGCCCCTTAATTGCAGTGAGGATACTTACTTATTATTTGAAAAAGAGGTTAAGAAACATACACAGCTACATACATACATAAATGTAATTTGTTTGGCTCTCCAGCATTCTCGGTCTCTGTTTTCCAATTTAATTATGAAAAGAAAGAAATGTTGAGATTTCAAACATCCGAGAAATACTGCTTAGTCAGAAATCCTTCCATTTCTCCTGAGTACATCTTCTCTGTCTCTTAACCACCTGATTAATCTTTGAGCAAAACAAAATGATGGTCTACCATAAAACCTGTTTACAGACAATGGACGACGGCAGTTCTCCAAAGTTTGTCTTAAGGCTGAATTTTCTAAGTCCTTTATTCTAAACTAAAACCAAATCTTTCAAATGAGATATTTACGGAAGTAGGACTTTGCAAAGCTGAAAAATGCTTATACACTTCAGATAATTGAAATAGCCGGCTCTATCCCAGTAATTATCCAGTTTAATCATTGCTGTTCACTAGACTACATACAAACAAAATAAAATTCAATGACAAAACATATGGTAAGGAATAATGGATTGCACTGCATAACTGCAATTAGTCCTTGACTTACAACAGTTCATTTAGTGACCGTTCAAAGTCACAATGGCACTGAAAAATGTATGACTGTTTTTCACACTTACAACTGTTGCAGCATCCCCATGGTCATGTGATTAAAATTCAGACGCTTGTCAAATAACCCATATTTATGATGGTTGCAGTGTCCCAGGGTCATGTGATCACCTTTTGCAACCTTCTGACAAGCAAAGTCAATGGGGAAGCCAGATTCACTGAACAGCTATGTTATTAGTTTAACAATTGTAATTCACAAGAACAATATATTATGGTTTGGAGAAGATGGATTGATTACATTCAAAAGAAATATGAAACTGAAAAGTATTATCTTGCATATGTGTAGATTTTAGGTAATTATTAACAATTTTAATTATATTATTACTTTTGTTTTTAATTCATTAATACTTGTTTCGAAAAGGAGTTAAAGTGTGTTATGGTTTTGATTGATAGTATAGTTGGTTAATGTTAGTTAGATTATGTTTGTTTATTTGCTACCCTGTAATCAGCTCTGGGAAGTGGGGGAGGGGGGGAAGGGGTGGGTTGGGTTTATATTGTATTAAATTTGTAAAACTTTTAATTAAAAAAAACAATTGTAATGATGCACCTAACAACTGGGACAAGACAGGTCATAAAATGGGGCAAAGCTCACTTAACAAATGTCTCACTTAGCAACATAAATTTTGAGCTCAGTTGTGGTCATAAACTGAGGACTACCTGTAAAGAATATTTGTTAAGTGTTAATGGCCTCATACAAATCTATACAGATACCACAGTCAATAGCAAACATGAACTGACACCCCTCCAGATGCTTTGGATTACACAATTCCCATTATCTCCAGGCAGTATGAAGAAAAGTTGTTATTCAACATTTTTAAATTGCAGTAAGATACAGAATGCTGACCTCAGAGATCTTGGATAAAATTCTGCCAACTATTTTCAATGAGAACATTGCATTCCCCAATATAGTTTAGAGGAATGAAGGAACATGTCTAGAAAAGAGCAAATTGGGAAAGCCCGTTTGGAGAATCTGAGAAGGAACAGCATTGTCCTCCCGTGCATTTCGAGACTTTCATCTATGGGACTGCCATCTTACTCACATACTGTAGTTATTTTGCTAGTGAAAAGACACAGAGAAATTTTTCTAGTGAAGTTTCTTCCATCATTTCTGAGGAATCTCACAAAAACCAATAGAAGAGGATATTTGTAGCTCAGGGTTCAAACTGTGGATCCTTGGTGCTCTTTGAGCTTGGATGTTTTCTTGCAGACATTTCATTACCCCACTAAGTAATATCTTCAGAGCTAGAAGAGAGTGATGATTACTCTCTGTCTTTATACAGTGGCTTCCCTGTCAGTGTTTGTGGGAGTGTTGTTTTCTTCTTAGTTGTTCTTTGATTAGGCTATTGTTTCCTGTTTGTTTGATTGTTTGTCTGACTTGGTAGTTCTTTCCTTGGGGTATTATTATGCTTTAGTCTTGATCTGTTGATCTGCAAGAAAACAGTCAAATTCAGAGAGGACCAAAGACTCTACAGAATGTCACAATTTCCTATGAGTCATAGCGCAACATCTGAGTTCATTCGAAAGACTCCAGGTATCTCTCATTAAAAATCTTGTAGCAGAATTCCTCAGAGATTTCAGAGGACTTCTGCTACTTTTCAACTAAGCTGGCCCAAAGTATAAAATAGATTCATATGGTGCACATTTTTTTAGTCAGACAACTGTTTAAAATGGTGGAAAGCCAATTCAGTTCAAAAGTTGCCAATAGTAGCGCTCTAGAGCTTTGGCATTTCTACTGCTTCAGCATTAGAAGTTAGGAGGAAAGATTCAGAAAGCAGCTTCCAGTCCTATTATCTTTATCTAGAAGCCAGTGTGTGTGGTATTGGTAATGTAGCATTGAATATATCTATCTTGGAAAAAAAATATTTTAGAGGAATAAATTCAAATTAGAAAAAAGTAGATTTTAGCTCAAAAACCACTTTCCTCTAGGTAGGTTGTAGAATAGTAGATCTTCTGCTGGATGTGTCAGTCTTTTATAGTGGATGATTTATAGCTAGATCAGTTTCTTTCCTACTGCAAAAGACTAACAATGAAACATGTATTTCTCCTCTATTAGAAAATAACTCATGATGTTCACTTGTAGATGTGAATGTGGCAGAAAGTTAGGTTCAGTCCCTCGGATACCATGTTTCATCTGACTCTACTAAGTGGATATTAGAGATTTGTTTGTGCGTCTGTGTGTGTGCCTTCAACTCCTGGTGACAGTTTGGACCAGGGATAGGCAACTTTGGCTCTTTTATGACTTGTGGACTTCAACTCCCAGAATTCCTGAGCCAGCATGGCTCAGCATGGAAACCTCTCCCTTTTCCCTCAGCATGGCTGGCTCGGGAATTCTGGGAGTTGAAGTCTACAAGTCATGAAAGAGCCAAGGTTGCGTACCTCTGGTTTGGACAAATCCCTCAGTCTTGGGAGATTTCAGAAGTGGTTTGCCACTGCCTCCTTCCTACTGCTGAGAGAACAGGATTGGCCCAAGGTTACCTAGCTGACTTCATGCCTGTAGCAAGACTAAAACTCACAATTTCCCATTTTCTGGTCTAATGCCTTAACCATTGCACCAAACTGGTTACATCAAACAAAAATATCACAAAGCAAGCCTGAAATCCACCTTCATTTGATATACTGGAATTGAGTTTAGTGTCTAATGGGT